TTGGTCGCAGGCGTCGCAGGGCTGCGACCCCTGTGACCGCGGTATGTATGCAAGATACACGCAGATACACATACACTTAAAGGACCACTACAGACACCCAGATCACATCAGCTCAATTAAGTGGTCTCGGTGCCAGGTCCCTCTAGTTTTAAAACTGCTATGTTTCACTGAAGGTTAATCCAGCCTCTAGTGGCTGTCTCATTGACAGTCGCTAGAGGAGCTTCCGCGATTCTCAGTGTGAAAATCACAGTGAGAAGACGCTGAATGTCCATAGGAAAGCATTGAGTAATGCTTTCCTATGGGCGGTTTCAGAGCTGAGAGGCGGATCCGGGCGGAGGGATCCCCAGCGCCAAGGGAGTCCAGCGCTGGAGAAAGGTAAGTGCTCAAGACACACACACACTCTCACGAACAGACGCATACCCACTAGCTAACAGACACACACATTTACTGACAGACACACACTCAGTGACAGACATACATATACACTCACTTACAAAACACAGGTTCACTAACAGATGCACACAAACTAACATACTCAGTAACACACTCACTGACACACAAAAACTAACACTAACACACACTCTAACACACACACACTCTAACACTAACACACGCACACACACTCTAACACTAACACACACTATAACACACACACACATTCTAACACTAACTCACACACTCTAACACACACACACACGCTAACACACACACTCTAACACTAAACATATGTACGCCACTGCATGAAGGGGTCTATGTGATCTACAACAATCTCTAGGTAGTTGGTATGTGTCAAAGTAACATCCATATTAATGTCACCTAAGGTTTCAGAGCCTAGCAGAATATTGAACAGAGTATAACACTGTCTCCATTGTCCTGACTTCTTCTCATCCTACTTCATGCTACCATCTCTACCACAGGTAAATGACACACATGCACCTGATCATCCACCTGATCTAAAAGAAAATGTGATTCATCAGACCAAGCAACTTTCTTCCATAGTCCAGACCCTGATGCCAGTGCACCGTTTTTTCTTCCTTGCACTACTTTTGGTAGGTAATAGCCGCTGCATACCAGGAACACTCCATAAGGCTTGCTGTTGCGTTCTGATGCCTGGCCAGTCGTTTAGCTATCGTTATTTGGCCTTTGTCAAAGTCACTTGGATATTTTTACTTGCCCATTTTTCCTCCTTCCAACACATGAAAATCAAGAACTGACAATTCGCTTGATGCCTAATATATACCACCCCTTGACAAGTGTCATTGTAACAATATAATAAATGTTAATCCCTTCACTTGTCTGTGGTTTTAATGTTGTGGCTGATTAGCATATCATTGTAAATGAACATATTAAATTCTCCATTTATTCAAATCTTTCCAGATACAAAATAGTGTGTATATATATATATATATATATATATAATTATTATTATTTATTTTCTTTTTATTTTTTTATCATTATTATTTTTTTTTCTGTGGGGTATTTGTTCTAGTCACATATTATAGCCAATATTTATAAAGAACAATTTGGAAAGATATGTCTTTGTTTAACTTTCTAAAATGTTGCCAAATTGATTTGCCCAACCAATTGACTTAACATTGTCTTTTATTGACTGCTTACTGTTTTACATCTGCCAAACTTCATTGTAGTTTGATTATGGGACCCATGCAACCATTTCAACTAGTTTGTTTTACACTCCACCAAACCCAATGAAATAATGATTATTTTGCTACTTTATTATAAGAATAAGGAAACTTGAGATGTCTATTGATTGTATTCAAGTTTCTGCTATAACAATAATTAAAATGACCCTTGGAGACACTGGCATGTAAACATAAATACTTCATTATTTTCATGCTTATAATAAATCATTAAAAACAATAAATAAACAAGGAACTTGTCACCTTAAATTGTTAAGAATATAGTTGTGTTTTTTTTGCAACATATTTCATTTAAATTCATTCTAACAATATGTGTCATTGTCTCTCAGCTGACCACCTGCCACTGTCTATCTTTGTCTATCTGCCTCTTTCTGTCAATGTCTATCTCTATTTGTCTGTCTGTATGTCATTCTGTCTCTTTCTATCTTCTTCTATGTCTGTGTCTATTTTTGTTTGTGTCTGCCTATCCCGGGCTGGATTTACATTGCAAGCACCAGTATGCACAGATGTGCTTTTTGAGAGCTCCTGACTGTCAATCCAAAGTCATTAAACTTATTTCACCCAGAACACGATCCCAAGATTTCCAAGACAAGAGTGACCTGGCCTTAGGCAAGAGTTTAGGTGACCTAACAATATATCTCCATGATTGCCCTAAACCAACTAAGCCCAATGACAAGACAATAGAGCTCCAGAGACTTCTCTATGTGGCTCTGGATCTCCAAGTCCAGCTATGTATGAGCAGTATGAGTCTACACAACTTTCCATCTAAAGGCAATTTAAATCTGATGTTTGGCAAACTGGAGGCATCAATCCAAGAAAATATTTCACTTTGAATGAGTTTTTTGTTTCAGAATAGAAAGGAAACTGAGAAGATCTGCAGAAGTTGCATTTTATTGCCTGGAAACAGAGAGGCACTATTTAGAGGCTATATTCTTCAGCTGTGACCTCTACTTTGTTGTTTGCAATCCATATGTAGTTCAAACTCACTAAAATATTAAAGCACTAAAGAAGGTGGTATGTAATTATATCCCCTCTGTTGCTTAAGTTTTGCCATTCCTGCTGGTGGGTTTAGACAAGGGCCTTAGACTGAGTTCACTAAGTGTTCAGGCATTTGCCTCATCAGCATGGAGTGCATTTGGCACTGGATCTTTTGGTTAAAAGATGTCTTATGAAAGGTGAAAAGGTGCAATCTCGAATTAAATCTATGGCACTGCTGTGGGTTCTTCCTCTAGTCTTGAAGGTTTTTAGGGATCATTAATTTTCGTCTTTGGATTCCAGCTCTAATATGCTACTGACTATGATGTGTCTCCTTCTTGTGGCCATCATTTCTTGAAGGAGAGTGCCTCAAAATCCTTATTAATCCTGTAAAACATCACCCGGAGACATTAACATCACTTCCAGATGACATTTTACAACCTGTAGTAGGCTATACTTACAAGACTGACCTAACCCAGTGACGTCACTTCCGGGTGGCGCACAAAACCGGAAACCTTTAAAGTCTTGAAGGGAAACCAATGAAAATTAGGAATTAACAGCCAGAACTACTGAACAATTATTGCACTACCTATATAAACTGAAGTTGCATCTAAACAGACCACGCTATAATCTTAGCGTTAAGTGTGGTTATATAGCCTAGTTTTATTGTTTCTTGCTGTTACATTGTTTTTATTTGTAATTATAATAAAGTTTAATCCTTTTAAATTTTATTTATTTTGAATTTATTTGGGATTTCACTCCATATCCTATCCATACATCGCAGGTGGGGATCGTACCACCAAACCTACATAACACCAGAGCAGGGTACATGTTCTACCTTGTGTAAGTAGGATACTTACCTTTTTCTGCATACTATTAACCATCTATACATACTGTACCATGGGATATCTTAAAAAAAAAATTCTGCATATTATGCTACTCTTCAGAGATATACCATCACCAAAAACATATATATTCTAATACAGGGATTGTACTGTCCACACTGAATATAGCAGAGCTCTAAGTAGCTCTATAATGTCTGAGTATGCCTGCATTATATGTTTGCTATATAGATACTTAACCCCTTAGTGACCAGACTGTTTTTTTCTTACTGTTAAGGACCAGGGCAGTTTTTAAATTTCTGCAGTGTTTGTGTGTAGCTGTAATGTTCCTCTTACTCATTTACTATACCCACACATATTATATACCGTTTGTCTCGCCCTTAAATGGTCTTTCTAAAGATAACATTATTCTCATTATATCATTTAATTTACTATAAAAAAAGAAAAATATGATGAAAAAACACCCATGCTAAATAGTTTCTAAATATTGTCCTAAGTTTAGAAATACCCAATGTTAACATGTTCTTAGCTTTTTTTTTTTTAGCAAGTTATAGTGCTATAAGTACAAGTAGGATATTGCTGTTTCAAAATAAATATTTTAAAAAATGTATTAATAGTGACATTGTAACATTGTTATCTGTCATAAATCTCTGAATCACACCTCACATGTACATATTTTTTTTTCCAATAGGATTATAGTTTAATAATTGCAAAATGTGTTCATGCCAGATTGCTCAAAAGAACAAACCAAGACACTCTCACCCAATGAGCATGGTCCAGCACTCATGCTTTATTGAAACATTGGGCTTCCCTTGTTGTAGAAGATCAGGTGTGACTTAGGCGCTCCATAGGATTAATGTCAGTTGTCAAATCACGCTTTGACAGCTTACGGTGTGAGGGCACCAATACTTGTTACAATGGGCCAAGGTGGTAATGATACTTAGAGTGATCCTTTACGTACTAGACTGTTATTTAACTAGTTTCTACATTACTCAAATAATTTGTAAAATTGCTCAGAAAAGGTTTTATGGAATCATTTCACTACCCAGTTTGGTACTGGGTTTCACTAACATACTTTAGGTAGGTGAGGTGTCACCATATGTTAGTATAATGCAAGTTTCCTAATTCCCACATAGAAAGAGCAGATTATAGTAAATGTGTGATATGTAAACTCTTATAGAGTCTTGTTTGTAAGCAAGAAAAAGGAGAAGACGTAGGTAAAATGAAACACCTGAACAAAGACAAAAATTACACAAACGTCTTCCATTTTTAAAGAAGCATGTTACATTGGAGAATCAAACTACCTAGAGGGGGCCTTTGGAAAAATTTATAAATAAACACAAAACAAAAATAAAAACAAATTTTGGTTTCATCCTTGAAGGAAGCAAAAACCAATCACATAGTGAGACAGTTAAACAGGAAGCGAGCAGGTTCATCAGTAGAGGGTCCTCATCAACCACATGTCCAAATAAAATCATATACAGAGGTATTGATGCTTAGAAAACTGCTTGATCTTTGGGTCAGTTTAGGAGATTAAGTATCTGTAATGGTCAGGCTTGAATGGACATTCTTTATCAAGACCAAGGTATTCTGCCTGCTTGTCGGAAAGTTTGGTGAGCTTCACACCGAGTTTGTCCATGTGGGCAGCAGCCACAGCCTCATCAAGCTTCTTAGGCAGGAAATAGACACCAATAGAATATTTATCATTGTTGGTCAAGAGTTCAATCTGAGCCATGACCTGGTTGGTGAATGAGGGTCACCCACTCATGACGAAGCTGGGGTGACCCATAGCACACCCTAAGTTAACCAGATGCCCTTCTGCCAGTAGGATGATGTGTCTTCCATTCTACAAAAGGTAACGATCCACCTGTGGCTTAATGTTCACTTTCTTCGCTGCATGATCATTCAACCACTTTACATCAAGCTCAACATAAAAGGGACAGGTGTTGCACAAAATGGAATCATCTTTCATTTGTTCAAAATGCCTTCCTTCTACAATATCTATGCATCCTGTTGTGGTAACAAAAATGTTGCCTTCTTTGCAAGCATCGTCCATGGTGGTGACCTGATAACCTTCCATAGTAGATTGCAATGTGTTAATTGGGACGATCTCTGTGATTATACCATGGGCACCAAAGGCTCTCAAGACCTGAGCACAGCCCTTCCTGACATCCCCGTACCCAGCCATGACTGCAACCTTTCCTGCAATCAGAGAACATCTGTGGCTCTATTAATACCATCGATCAGAGACTCACGGCAACCGTAGAGGTTATCAAACTTACTCTTTGTTACAGAGTCATTCACACTGATAGCTGGCACCTTGAGGGTACCATTGCTCTCCATCTTATACAGATTGTTCAGGAAACACCTTTAATGCCTGCCAGCAATTCAGGATATTTAGTATGGACGATGTTTGTAAGGTCACCCCCATCTTTAAGAATCATGTTGAGAGGCTTCCCATCAGCAAAGAAAATAATCTGCTCAATACACCAGATGTACTCCTCATCTGTTCCCCCTATCCAAGCCTACACTGGGATGTCAGTTTTTTGCAATAGCTACCGCTGCATGATCCTGTGCTGAAAAGATGTTACAGATGGACCACTGCACCTCAGCTCCGAGTGCTGTCAGAGTCTCTATAAGCACTGTGCTCTGGAGCGTCATGTGGAGGCACCCAGCAATCCTTGCTCCTTTCAGAGGCTTGGTCTCAGAGTACATTTTCCTCATCTTCATTAATCTGGGCGTCTCATTCTCCGCAATCTCAATCGGCTTTCGGCACCATTCTGCCAGGCTGATGTCAGCAACTTTGAAGGTGAGTTTGTCAGACATTGTTCAGAGGAGGAAGATTACACAGCAATCAACCTGGCTGGTAGGAGAAGAAGAGGAGGCATGCTGTAGTCGTACATATTTTTATAAAGTAGACAACCCAGGATATTCAATATGGGGTATCTCTAGTCCTTTTTAGTAGCCACTTAGTCACAAACACTGGCCAAAGTTAACATTTATATATGTTTGTGTGTTAAAAATGCAAAAAACTATTATGAACGCTCACTGTAACGGAGCTCCCTGTACTCCGACCGAGTACCCTCCGTTGATGGATGCTCCTAGCGCTTCCTGAGGACTCCAAACACTGCAGCAGACACCACAACCACCGCAGACTCCACAACCGCCGTAGCTTAACTGGAGTCTCGCCGTCTTCCTTCCACCCTGGATCAGCTTCTGTCCTCCAGGACCGTGTGGGGAAGACCTCTCCTCCAGGAGAGCGTAACAGGAACAGCTCTTAAAAGAGCTAAGTGATTAAAAGCTCAGGGAGTATGCAGAGCATAGCAATCCCCAGTGTGATATAGCAGTTCCCTCCAATAACGAGACAAGGCTACGTATTGAGGGTCAAGAAGATCTGATGTTTAATGGCACACACTCTGCTTTTATGAGATTCTGCCCATGCAAGGGAGACACCCACATAATTAGCAGTATAACCAATCGGAACAATATACATTCGGGGAAATTCCCATCCCTCAGATAATCACATAACATAATTAAAACAGAACAGTAAAAATACAGTTTTTATACATGTACTATAACTTCCAAACTACACATCCAATCTTCATAAAAATTACATATTTGGAATCAATCCATTAAGGGGAGCAACATATTAAAAAATGGCACAAATCAGACAAGGGGTTCAAAAGTTAGCAAAAGTGTATTTTGGGGCCTGGCTGGCAGCATGGTTTTCTGGCCCAAACCGGTTTTACAGAGGCCTCTATCCTGGACAATGGGGAAAGTAATCCAATTATCCAGGGATAGAGGCAGACTCCATTAACCACATGTTAGCAAAAGACACAAAAAGACACAAAAATACATAACTCCTATTAAACTGAACAGAACCCCCACATTCAACCTATCCCCAGATGGCTTGGATCTGAGCGCTCAATATATCCAAACAGCGCTCAGATCCCACAAATACAGTCAAATCGCCATACACACTAGGTCCATAGTCATGGGGCAGAAGGCTGGCAATTAGGCTTCTCCATAACACAGGGAAGCAGGGCAATTTGTCAAATAAAATAACAGTTACAAATGGCAGTTTGTAACACTCACTTTAGCCAGTGTTTGTGACTATGTGGCCAATAAAAAAGACTGAACATTTGCAATACCTTGGGTTGTCTTCTTTTGCAAATAGTATGCCATCATGGGAGTAATTCTCATTCCTGGGTTATCATACGCTCTCAAAGGCAACATAACCAATCTGGCAAATTTCAATGTGAAAAAATAGCAAATCAAGCTTTATAATTGACCCTGTAACTTTCCAAAACACTATAAAACCTGTACATGGGGGGTACTGTTATACTCAGGAGAATATTAGTGTTTCAAAACAGTAAAACATATCATAACAATGATATCATCCGTGAAAGTGCCATTTGTGTTTGAAAAATGCAATAAACGTCACTTTCACTGACAATATCATCGCTGTGATATGTTTTATTGTTTTGAAAAACTCATTTGTATTCACTGAAGTCTACCGTGTATAACAATACCCCCCATGTACAGGTTTTATAGTGTTTTGGAAAGTTACAGGATCAATATAGGGCTTGCCCATTTAAGTTTGCCAGATTGGTTTGCTGGGTCTCTGTTTCCTTTTGAGACCATATGTTAGCCCAGGAATGTGAATTAACCATAGGCGTGCACACGGGGTGTGCCGGGTGTGCCTGGGCACACCCTAATCCCGCGGCACGCCTATGTATATTGAGACCGGCAGGGGAGATCTCAGGATCTCCCCTGTCGGCTCATGCAGAACCGGCGCTATCCGAGCGCCGGCTCTGCTCTCAGCCTCCCTCCCTCTGACCCACATGCAGGGAGGGAGGCAGGAGAGGACCCGGCGGAGCTATTGCCGGCAGCTCCGCCAGGTTCCTCTCGCGAGATATGAGCGTTGCCACGGTAACGCTCAAATCTCGCGAGAGTGAACTCTAGCCCCACAGGGGGCTAAAGTTCACTCTCCACTGGACCACCAGGGATCACAGCAGCAACAAGGATCCCATCCTCCACTGGACCACCAGGACCACGATCCCCCCTCCCTACAAAAGGTAAGAAGGGAGGGGGGATAGCAAATAATGTACCCCCACCTCCACCCCCACAATCACCCCCCCACACACAGCACACACACATACAGCACACACACATTCAGCACCCACAGACATACAACACCCACAGACATACAACACCCACACACATACAGCACCCACAGACATACACAGCACCCACAGACATACAGCACCCAGACATACACAGCACCCACACTCATACAGCACCCACACACATACAGCACCCACACACATACAGCACCCATACACATACAGCACCCATACACAGCACCCACACACATACAGCACCCACAGACATACACAGCACCCACAGACACACAGCACCCACAGACATACAGCACCCACAGACATACATAGCACCCACACACACATACAGCACCCTCACACACAGCACACAAACAGCACCCTCACACACACACACACACACACACAGCACCCACACACACATACAGCACCCTCACAAACACACACAGCACCCTCACACACACACAGCACACTAACAGTACCCTCACAAACACAAACAGGACCCTAACAAACACACACACAGCACACTACCAGTACCCTCACATACAAACAGCACCCTCACACACAGTACATTAACAGCACCCTCACAAGCGTGCACACACACACAAACAGCACCCTCACACACGGTACATTAACAGCATCCTCACAACCACGCACACACAAACACCCTCACCCACATAGCACACTACCAGCACCGTCACACACACATCACACTAACGGCACCCTCACACAGCACACACACACACACACAGCAGTGTGTGTATGTGTGTATATATGTGTATGTGTGTGTGTATGTATATATATATATATATATATATATATATATACATATATGCGGCGTGTGCTTGTGCTTTAGGGTGCACACCCTAATGCAATAGGCTGCGCACGCCTATGGAATTAACCCCATCATGGCATACCATTTGCAAATGTAGGCAACCTGGGATATTCAAAATGGGGTATGCCCAGTCTTTTGTAGTAGCCACTTAGTCATGAACGCTGACCAAAGATAGCAGGTTTTTTTTGCATTTTTTAAAACAAAAACTACAGTTTTACTGGTGATATCATCATTGTGATAAGTTTTACTTTTTAAAACCCTCATATTTGTGTTCAGCGAAGTCTCCTGAGTATAACAATACCCCCCATGTAAAGGTTTTATGGTGCTTAGGAAAGTTACAGAGTTAAATATAGGGCTTGCCTATTTAATTCTCTGGACTGTCTGCCTAGGTTGTCAGGCATGTCCCTCAAATCATAATTAATAAAATCAAATAATTATATAAAAATAATAGTTAAATATATATGTAGAATGTATTTATATAACTATAAAAAAAGTTTTTTTTTTTAAATTTATAATATATATATATATATATATATATATATTTCCAGGCTTATCATGGCAGCATATACACATGGGTTAGCTCCTCCACTTACAGCCAATAGGACAGGATTTAAACAAATTCTTATAAAGGAGGATCCAGAGATGAGTCCCTCAGTCTTTTTCCTGTCCTTACAGCCTTTAGGAAGGGAGCTCCTTAGCTCTCTTTAGAGATTAAGTAAACTGTATACTTGAACTATTTTAGTTACTTCTAGGTCTCCTACACCGTTTTTCATTCATACCAGGACCTGTCCTGGGGTACCTGAGACCTATTGGGAACGTCCTGGCTTCACTCCATCCTCCATCCTCCCAGCTTGTATTGCCCGGATCGCGGAGAGGATGCTTGCGCATGCGCAATCCGCTCAGAACGCTTTTGGCGCCAAAATTCAGTTTGTGTAAGGTCGCGAGGTCGCGGCGGCCATCTTTACTATGGGCAAAACCGAAAATGGCAGGTAAATGACTGAAAACGCCAGGACTAAGGTTAGTGTTCAGCATGTACTATTTAAAGTGACCTGGAACTCGAAGGAGGTTGGTGTGGTAACTATACTTGTGCAGTTTATATTTTATTAGCTTGGAAAGTAACAAGTTAGGACTCTGGAAATTGGTGCCAGGATTTTCTATCCTTTTGCCACAGCTTTGTGTATTTTATATATATTTACCCTCTTTTGTGAATTTCTGGGATTTAATCTGAGATAATTATTTTATATATTTCTTTGTTGTAGTAGCCCATTATGAGCTCTCCTAGTAGGAACCCCTTACCCTGTTCGGATGAATCCAGGTGAGTAGGGGTCCATTTATTTTATATATTACTTTATATAATAATTTCTTCTCCATCTACTGAAACGGTTCCTTGTATCATTTATAGTAATGGAGAACAATCTGTTACATCTCCCCCACGTAAGAGGAGACAGAAGTCAGACCCCTGTGCAGGATGTGATAGAAAGGTGATGGAAAGCAAACATCTCTGCCTAAACTGTCTGCATAAAGTGGCCGCTCCATCACCCCTAACGCCCACTCAATCGCCAGATATCCGGGCTTGGATCAGACAGGAGGTGGCCCAGGGCATCTCTGAGGCCATGGAGTCAAGTAAGCGGTCCACGAAAAGGCCTAGACAGAGACAAGTTTCCTCAGAATCATCAGCCTCAGATTACCAGGACCCTGCTGAAGAATTTCAGATTCTAGACCAGGTTTTTTCTAGTGAAAACGAAGAAGAGTTTGTTTCGGAATATCTAGACGGTAGATAAACTTATCCTGAAGGTAAGAAAGACCCTTGAAGTTCCTACACCTAAAAATTCTGATAAGCACTTTGCGGAGCTTAGGAAGCAGAAGCTTTCCTTCCCTCTTCACAGAGCCATTAAGGAATTGGTTACAACAGAATGGGAAAAACCTGATAAAAAGGTTCCGTTTCAAGGTAGGCAATCCAGGTTTTACCCTTTGGAGGAGAAAACTTCCAAGAAATGGACAACACCTCCAAAGGTTGATGTAACGGACCGTTTTGCACACAAGGGGTAAAAACTGTTTAGGCGATCGGCCCCCTTTCCAGAGATACAGGCACAGCTACTGCAGAACACCAAAACTCACGAACTGGATACAAAATAGCACTCCAACTCCCGAACTGGAACCTCCCAAATGGCTGCTAGCAGACGAACAGGAAAAGCAGACGAACAGCTTACACTCCTGGCAATCAGTCTCTAACAGCATACAGTGAATCCCCCCAAGAACGAGACAAGGCTCCGTGTTGGGGGTCAAGCAGTGGTCTGTTTAATGAGGGCTACCTGCCCAGCTTTTATGCAGGTCTCCCACCTGGTGGACACTCCCCTAGGGGACCAAATGGGAGACTGTGACAAGGGACAGACACCTATACAAAAAGGACACACAGTCACAGTATATTCCCACAATGCATCCTGGCTTCCTCCCCTCTGCCCTGGGAGATAATTGGGAAGTAATTCAATTATCTCCCAGGACAGACACAAGACTCCATTAAGCACATGGTTGCAAAGAGACACAAAAGACTTTAAAATACATAAAGTCACATTTATACATAAAACACAGACATTTCACATATCCCCAGATAGCTCAGGTCTGAGCGCACATTATTAAGTGAATGGCGCTCGGACCACACAAATACAGTTTAATCACCATGGAGCCAAAGTCTTTACAGTCAGTTTCATACAAATGGGCTCCATGGGATTCCTATCTGGGGTATAACACATTCAAACAAATCTACTGAACCCCAGGCAGAAAAGCACGAATGAAGCTTTTCTGCAGGTAAAAAATATGTCTTTTAACAGGGGGCCATAGTCCAAAGGCAGCAGGCAAGCAACCAGGCTTCTCCAATGCAATGTGGCGAGATTGGTCTCGTCACATCTCTCCCCTTTTCAAACAGACTAACAGGGTATCTGACCTCCTGCCGGTCAGTGCCCTTGTTAGTCCAGCAGCCCACCCACAAAACATAATCAACAGCACAGCCCACCCACAATAAATGGTTACTACACCTGGGTAAAGGAGAAACTTGTCCATGTCCAGGTGCCTCACCACGGCTGTGCTGGGTACGGGTACGCTGACTGGGTGGGTTGCTGCGTGGGCAGAGACCAGCGGCACTCTGCCCTGTTGCCAGCGCTACTGGGAGGGTAGCCTGGTTGAAGCCTGGTTGTTGGAGGGGGAGGCCGACTGTCTCCCCTTTAACTACACCGCTCTGCTGCTGGAGACCGACTGTCTCCCCTTTAGACACACAGCTCTGCTGCTGGAGACCGACTGTCTCCCCTTTAGTTGCACAGCTCTGCTGCCGAAGGGGGAGACCGACTGTCTCCCCTTTGGATACTCTAAGATGTCGCTGGGGAGAGGGGGTAACAGGCTCCTCTCCCGATAGAACACTCTGCCGCTGGGGAAAGGAGACTGAGCTCTCTATTCCCTGCCCATTAATGATCCGCTGCTGGGGAGAGGTGGTATCAAGCTCCTCTCCCATACATACTTTCATCCTCTGTGGAGGGAGACCGACTGTCTCCACTCCCAATACAGTGTCCTGCTGCTGGGGAAAGGAGACTGGGCTCTCTATTCCTGGTAGGACACTCTGCCGCTGGGGAATGGAGACTGGGCTCCCAATTCCCTGCTGTATCTCCCTCTGGAGAATGGAGACTGGGCTCCCAATTCCCGGCACATCACACTGCCGCTGGGGAATGGAGACTGGGCTCCCAATTCCCAAAAAATCACGCTGCCGCTGGGGAGGGAGGACACTGCTCTCCTCTCCCTGGACTTCCCACTGCCTTCCCGGCATATCACTTGGCTGCTGGGGGGCAGGAACAACTACCTCTGCCCCCTGTAACTCAGCCTGTCGCTGGGGAGGGAGGACGCTGCTCTCTTCTCCCTGCACTTCACACTGCCTTCCCGGCATATCACTCTGCTGCTGGGGGCAGGAACAACTACCTCTGCCCCCTGTAACTCAGCCTGCCGCTGGGGAGGGAGGACGCTGCTCTCCTCTCCCTGCACTTTACACTGCCGCTGGGGAATGGAGACTGGGCTCCCAATTCCCGGCATATCACACTGCCACTGGGGAATGGAGACTGGGCTCCCAATTCCCTGCATATCACACTGCCGCTGGGGAATGGAGACTGGGCTCCCAATTCCCTGCATATCACACTGCCTCTAGGGAATGGAGACTGGGCTCCCAATTCCCTGCATATCACACTGCCGCTGGGGAATGGAGACTGGGCTCCCAATTCCCTGCAGTACCTGTCGCTGGAGTTCCTCCCAACGTGCCAGCTGACCTTCTCTTTCTGCCCGGTGTTGCAGATTCATGAACACTAGGTTTCTCATGGACTGCACGTATTTCTCAGCTGGATTGGGTCCAAAGAAGTTCAGCCGCAACCACATCATACGGTCATACTCTCTCATAGAGTATCTGTACGCCACTGCTGGTTCCATCCTGGTGCTGTCAGGGTCGCTGTACTGGGGCATGCGTTGCCCTTAACTTGTAAATCCAAAGAAATGGTGTCTCCTGTAGCTGTCCTTCTGGCTGTAGGAACGATCCCACTGCTGCCACCAATTGTAACGGACCGTTTTGCACACAAGGGGTAAAAACCGTTTAGGCGATCGGCCCCCTTTCCAGAGATACAGGCACAGCTACTGCAGAACACCAAAACTCACGAACTTGATACAAAATAGCACTCCAACTCCCGAACTGGAACCTCCCAAATAGCTGCTAGCAGGCGAACAGGAAAAGCAGACAATCAGCTTACACTCCTGGCAATCAGTCTCTAACAGCATACAGTGAATCCCCCCAAGAACGAGACAAGGCTCCGTGTTGAGGGTCAAGCAGTGGTCTGTTTAATGAGGGCTACCTGCCCAGCTTTTATGCAGGTCTCCCACCTGGTGGACACTCCCCAAGGGGACCAAATGGGAGACTGTGACAAGGGACAGACAAGTATACAAAAAGGACACACAGTCACAGTATATTCCCACAATGCATCCTGGCTTCCTCCCCTCTGACCTGGGAGATAATTGGGAAGTAATTCAATTATCTCCCAAGACAAAGGCAAAACTCCATTACACACGTGGGAACACAAAACAGCATTATACTTTAAAATGCACAAAGTAACGTTTACTACATAAAACACCGACATGTAACACATCCCCAGATAGCTCAGGTCTGAGTGCACATTATTAAGTGAATGGCACTCAGCCTACACGAATACAGTTCAATCGCCATGGAGCTAAAGTCTTTACAGTCAGTTTCATACGAATGGGCTCCATGGGATTCCTATCTGGGGTATAAGAAATTCACACAAAAATACCGAACACCGGGTCATTCGTGTGCTTTCACCGAACAAGGAGGGAGGTCGGCGGCTTCAGCGGTGTTCGCGCAAAACTGTGTCCGATTTTAGTTCCATGAAAATAGAGGCGAACACAGCTGTTCATTCGTATGGTTTAAAATGGCCGCGACCTCGTGTTCGGGATACGAACGGCGGCCACCCAGCGTTCATCAATTAAGCTGCGGTTAACCGCAGCTTCAGGGAGGTTAATTGCCGGCACACTCCAGCTCCCAGGTGGTCCAGTCACTCGTACGGTTGTTCGGTAGATTGAAACTACCGAACAACCGGCAGAAAAGCACGAATACAGCTTTTCTGCATGCAAAAATAAAGTCTTTTTAAAAGGGGCCATAGTCCAAAGGCAGCAGGCGAGCAACCAGGCTTCTCCAATGCAATGTGGCGAGATTGGTCTCGTCACAGTTGATGCTACCATCTCTAGGGTAGCCAAGAGAACAAGTCTACCACTGGATAGTTCAGCTTCTTTGTGGGAACCAATGGATAAGAAGTTGGATTCTGATCTTTCCAAGATATATTCGGCGGGTGGATCAGGATGCCATCCAGCTGTTTGTCTTACAGCAGTATCCAGAGCCATGAAAAGTTGGGTGAAAGAACTGGATACGGATGTGGAGAGAGGAATGAAGAGAACAGACCTCAGGGATGCTATCTGTGACCTTAGGATAGCTACTGAATTTGTCGCACAAGCTGCCCTGGATATCACCAGGATAATTCTCCCGCACCATGGCTCTCTCGGTAGCAGCAAGGAGAGCTTTATGGTTGCGTTATTGGGGTGCGGACGCTTCCTCCAAGGCCAATTTATGTTCCATACCTTTTGAAGGTGATCTTCTATTTGGGAAGACCCTAGAGGATTCCATTAAAAAAGCAGCTGAAGGGCGTAAAGTCTTTTTACCCCGAGAAAAAAGAACAAGGAGACCGGGCTCCTCTTGGTCAGAGAAGCGACCTCCTAGGGATCAGTATTTTCAGGATACTCGTAGCTACCGACCAGGTAGAGAATTCAGCCGAACTAATAATTGGCGTGGAGGCCAATCATATACTTCACGTTCTTCCCGAGGTAGAAATCCTTCCTTTCATGCTGGAGGCAAAAACGTCTGACTATCCATTGGAGGTGGGTGCTCGACTTTCCCTCTTCAAGAGAATTTGGGCACAAGACATACAGGATTCCTGGGTCAAAGCGATAATTCAAGGGGGTTACAGGTTAGAATTCCTCAGAATACCCAAGGGCGACTTCTTCATTCCCACCGGTCTGCCCAAGGACAAGGGCTGAAGCAGGACTCTGGGAGACTATGTTCAGAACCTCAGGTCCCAAAGGGTCATCGTTTCAGTTCCAGAAAAGGAACGATTCCAGCGTCACTATTCACCTCTGTTCTTAGTCCAAAAAGACAAGGACAATTGGAGACCTATTCTAGACCTGCG